AGGATCTTTTATTTTAGTGTTTGGAAAAAGTACATTTTAAAACATAACTTCCTAGATCCTTGAGATGAAATATTGACTCATAATCTTATAAATAACTCTTTTAAATAGGATATGACAAAAAAGCAAATGGCTTTGGAAAAAATCAGTCTTCAGAAATGTCTGCTATATTTTGAGAGTGTTCATGGACGGCCTGTAAGTATACCATGGAAAGATAGGTAAATTTCAAATTATATTACATAGAATTTCTTTTAAGAAATACTTTTGAGATTTCATATTAAATATATTTAGATCACTCTTACACATTCAATGTTAGTGCAGTTGGTTCAAAGCAACCTTCAAATATAAATGTTCATTGATGGAAATGTTAAACTATGACAAAATTTTAATAAATATAATAACAAAGCCAGATTTTGATGACATTATATTGGTCTTCAATAGCAAAACACTGCAACCTTAATGGTAACAATACTCAAGGCCCTATTGTGATCTTCCATAATTTGCACCTTGACTTAGGTATGTTGTGGTTGAAGTAACACATAGTCTGACCTGTAATTTAGCATTGAAATGTATACGATATTAGAGCATTTAACATCATAGAAGAAAAGTTTTATAAGCCAGGACACAATGTTATGAGTTATCACTTACATTTTACTTTATTTATTGAAGATGCTAAGCCTGTACCTATGGCCAGAAACCTGCCAGAGCAGGCCAAGATACAGCAGAGCATGTGGTGAATTCGAAAGTTCCATAGAACATGAAGTCAGTGGAATTATTTGCATGCTTAACGTTATGCATTTTCCTAAACACTTTGCTTAACCAACATTAGTAGTTTAGAAAGCTTAACAGGATGTGGGATTGATGTCTCTGATATAACTAAAAATGATTAAATTTTTAGTTTCATGGTTTGGCATTTCTGATTTAACTACTTTAAAACAGTAAACACAAACTTATGTGCACTAGAGATAAATTTGCCTGAAGGGGTGGGCAGTTGAAATGTTGTGAGGATATATTACCATATTTTTTCATTTTCTTTCCTTTAAAGATACTTCCTAGATATGCAGTGGTCATTATTGGCAAGTTGTTACTGATCTAGTTACTACATAAAGGAATCTGAAACATTGTCCTATTCTCAGATGAGCAGTAGCCTTAGAACTGCATTATTGTAGTTACTATGGTTTAGTAATGCTTTCCAGAAGTTTCCTTTTTAATAGTAACAACCATATAATGAATTTTTAGGGTAACTGCCTTAAGATTGTGCTGATGAGATTTTTTCTGGACAGTTTTTCTATATTTAGCAATGGTATATGGCTTTAAAAATAATCATACTCTACTTAAGAGACTAAAAATCTCATACTTCAGTGCATGATCCATCAACATTCTATAATTGAAAGAAACTTATATAATTGCCCATTATAGAGGTTTTTTTACCTCTTTAAAGCATCAGGTAACAGTCATTACTTAAGGCAGAGTAACAAATTATATGGACTGCTCTTTTTAATGGGTATTGCAATTACACGTCCCTCTTTCTTTCCTGGTTATATATATGTATTTATAATACAATGAATATTATTGGCCAGATTCTCAACTGGAGTATATTTGTATTGTTCTGATTGGCTTATGAATATGAACATGTCTACCTCAAAGATGCTTTATGCAAAATGCATCATGTAACAACAATTTTAAAGTTACAGTCTACTAAAAGCGTATATCCTACTCTTGTGCATGATTCAGTCTTAGATATGAAGTTAGACATAAGGGCTGTGTCTACACTGGCACCCTTTTCCATAAAAGGGATGCTAATGAGACACTTTGAAATTGCAAATTCCGCAGGGGATTTAAATATCCCCCGCGGCATTTGCATGAACTCGCCTGCCGCTTTTTTCCGACTCGGGGTTTTGCCGGAGAAAAGCGCCAGTCTAGATGGGATCTTGCGGAAAATAAGCCCTTATTCAAGTAGGAATAAGGGATCTTCCGGAAAAGAGCTTATTTTCCGTAAGATCCCGTCTAGACTGGTGCTTTTCTCCGGCAAAACCCCGAGTCGGAAAAAAGCAGCAGCCATGTTCATGCGGGGATATTTAAATCCCCCGCGGAATTTGCAATTCCGAAGTGTCTCATTAGCATCCCTTTTACGGAAAAGGGTGCCAGTGTAGACACAGCCAAAAAGTGTGAATCCGGTTTTAATTCAAAATGTGCTAAGGAAGGCCATGAGGGATATTTTAGGAACATATAATGGCTCAGCACTCAAACCTGTAAGCCCAAACTGTGGTTAGTCCCAGAAAGACTCATGACATGCAACCTGGTACTGGAATCCGATCTGGATGTGGTATTTTTCCATAGGGATGAGGGGTCTTAACACAGGGTTCCTGCCCCGGGGAAAAATCTATTTACGAAATGGAAAGCTCTCAGATCTTTGTCTTCATCTAGTCTTTGAAACTGGCTCACCTACCCCAAGAAGATACACGTGAAGAAACTTAGCAACAAATAACTCTGAAAAAGATGTAGACCCAAGTCAGAATAAAGATCAACTGTGACTTGAAGCCTTTTACCTGAAATAAGAACAACTGTTTAGAGTAATCATTTGCATGTAATAAGCCCCTTAGTGGATTAGAACTAGTTGGCATCTTTTCTTTATTTTAATTTGGTGACTTATTTTGATTTGTTTTCACTTGCAACCACTTAAATCCTACTTATTATACTTAATAAAAACACAAGTTTATTATTAATCCCAGTGTAAATAATTGTTACCGGGGGGAGCAACCACTGTGCATATCTCTCTTACATTGATTAAGGTGACTGATCTTATGAGCTTTCTCTGTGTGAAACTTTTACACAGGGTCAGACAGATTTATTTATGGTTTTAGTCCTCTTTGGAGGTCTGTGTTCTGGAGTGCTGAACCATTAGAGATGAGCCCTCCTATAACAGCTGATTCAATGTCTGTGTTGCTCTGTTTGGGGGGGGTGTCATGGTAACCCCAACTCTATGCTCTACCTGGGAAGGAGCAAAGCTTCTGGCTCAACAGGGCAGAGTGGTGGGGAGTCCCAGAGGGTACACATCAGTGGCTTGATCAGCATATTGGGGAAAAACTGTAAGGGGATTTCTGTGATCCAACCCCTCACAGTTAAGCAAGGTAGTGTGCACAGCTGGTTGCTCTGGGTGCTAGTAATTTTAAGTGTGTTCTAAAAGTGGTTTTTGGAAGACAGACAAAATAGTTACTGGTTTGTTATTTTCTGTTTGCTTATTTCGGGTAAGGGAAATACAGACAGGAGAATCAGCAAAATGAATGGGACTGAGGCTCAGAAGAAACTGGAACTTCAAGAGGGCAAGTGGCAGAGAGGGAGGAAGGACATAAAAACAAATGGAATTAGGGAGATTAAAATGGAATTACAAACTGCCAGGGTAAAGGCTGCCCATGAGGAAGCTATGGAAGCCCAGAGGTTAGCCCTGGAGCTGAAGGAGAAAGAAGAGGAACCACTAAAAGCTGCTCATCAAAGAGCCCTGGAACTGAGAGAACTTGAGAAAGACAAAGAGACAGCCCAAAAAGAGGGAAAAAGGGATGAACTGGCTGTACTGTGCTGGACTGGGAGAGTCAGCATCTCAATGCAGCAGGATTCACCTCTTCAAAAATCCACAACTGGGACCAACTGTACTTAGCTTATGATGAGTCTGCAGCCATCTCTGAATATTGTATCATCTTAGAAAGACTATGTGGCATGCATTCAGTTCAATTCCTGAGGATCAGAAAATGAGCACTCTGGTTACACGACTGACTTGAACATATTCAATAAGATGCCTTTGGCTGACGTTTCAATTCATTATAAATCCAAGGATTTGGTTTTAAAACAGTTTAAGATTGCATCTGAAACTTACAGGGTGAAATTTAGATCCCTTACGAGAGGGGCTGGGGTAAATAATGTGGCTTATGTTAACCAAATGGAAAGCCCTGCTAGATAAGTGGGCGAGAGGGAAAGGAATTGTAAGCTTGTAGGACATGTGTGATTTAATTGTTCAGGAACAAGTCTAAGAGGGGCAGCCATGTTAGTCTGTAACTTTAAAAACAACATATTGTCTTGTGGCACCTTAGGGTACGTCTAGACTACAGGCTTTTGTCTACAGAAGTTTTGTCGACAGAGAGGGTATGTCTAAACTACATGACTACGTTGACGGATGAGTTGCACCTCAGCAAGTCTGCAGATTACACTAAGCCAAGGGAAGAGATGACGAGCAAGAAGACTGAATCACACAACCACTGCCTGTGTGTGGGTCTGTGACTAGGAACTTCCAGATCCCACTGTCCTGTTCCCATTGCCACTCTCCGATCACCCTCGGACTTTTGACTTGTGCAGGTGTTTCCCCCAAAACTGGAAGATGCCTGTGTGAGACTTCTCTTAATATGGGGAGACTGGTGCACAACAGTCACCTCTGTCCTTGACAGATAGAGGGCTTGAAACCAATGGATGGACACAACAACAACTGGAGGTCCTCTGTCTGCTGCAGCCTTTATCCGCCTTTCCAGCCGCTATAACATTACACAACAGATTCACCTCCATTGTGCAATTATCCTCCATCTGCTCTGCTGTCGAGGACTTCTTAGATCATACTTTGTCTGGAACCTCACCCTCGATTGTTCTGCCATTGGTGACCCCTGTTCTTCCATCAGTGACCCTAAGGGAGTACATGACTCCAGGCAGCATAGCTCCTGGGGTCATTGGAACACACTGCTGTCGAGGACTTCTTAGATCATACTTTGTCTGGAACCTCACCCTCGATTGTTCTGCCATTGGTGACCCCTGTTCTTCCATCAGTGACCCTAAGGGAGTACATGACTCCAGGCAGCATAGCTCCTGGGGTCATTGGAACACACAAGCATCTCCACCACTACAAGGTGATGATCTATGGAGGGGCGGGAGGGGGGGGGAGCGGGGAGGAATAAGAAGCAGGTAACTCATGACATTTCTGCTTCCCAGACAATGGCTACTTATTGCACAGGATTTATAAAACTGGTTAATTCAAAGTCAGGCAGGAAATACATGGAGTCTGCCAGGGTGACTAGGCAAGACATCCCTGCATGGAGGGACACTGGGGTTATGTCTTCAGTCTGGAGGGATCTGATTAAGGAACAAGATAGCTTCCTTGGGGACTTGGCTGAATTTGGTGGTTCAGAGAGGGCAAAACCACGCTAAGTTCATTGTTGCTACTGTGTCTGAAAAATGTGCACAATTTATTTTGGAAAATGACTTTTCTGAGGTGGCTGAATCCATCCCAGGACTTGTTAGCAGCAGCAAAAAGAACTCAAATCCCAGACATAAAGCCACACGGACTATAGAGTAAATAGGAGCTCGTCTCTTGAATTCTTCTCCAGGTGGGCTAGGCAATTTGTAACATTGGGGGGGGGGGAGAGGGAAATGTAGAGAAAGCAAACCCTAGTCCTGAGTTTGCCTAGCATCTATCCAAGCTGTCCAGGAGGAGGAGAGATGCAGCAGGAGGCAGGCTCAAACCTGGGATGTACAGAGACCTGTGTTTGGAAGAAAAGATTCAGGAAGAGGCCTTATAACTGAAGTTATTAAAGCCTGATAACTGAAGGTCTTTGGTCTGTTTTCACGTATAACCACTTAAATCCTACTTATTATATGTAACAAAAATACGTTTGTTTATTATCAAGCCCAGTGTAAATAATTGTTACCTGGGGTAGGAACCACTGTGCATGTCTGTCTCTCATTGATAAAGGGGGCTGACCTTATGGGCTTCTCTATGGGCTTCT